ACCTGAGGTGTGAGGTTTAGGGATTGGGGTTTAGGGTTGAGGGTTTAGGGGTTTCTATGAGCTATGGTCTACACTCCTAGTATCCACTGAGTTTTATGTAGGGTTGCGGCTTCAGGGCTCAGCGCTATCTATAAGGTTTTAACGTTTCTGGCACCCCCCTGTTGAGAATTCATCTCCGACCCCGCTAGCTTAGGATTTGGCTTTATATGAGCTATGGTCTAAACTCCTAGTATCCCCCTTAAACACGCCTATCGTACTCCCCTAGAATCCCCTTTAAGGAATTTAGACTATAGCTCATACAGGGGTGCGGGTTGAGGGTTTAGGGTTATCCAAAAATTTTGGGTTTCTCTAGGGTTTATACCATTGGGGGTCATGTAAGGACCCAACCTTTCCACAAAGAGCGCGCAGAGGCCTCACATCGCTCGCGTAGAGCTGTAGTCCTTCTGAAATTGAGCCCCGAACTCTGGGTCATGAACTCTACCGTGTGCCTAAGGCGGAGTCGGGGAGGGCACAGAGGGATTGTCATACGGGATTATCTATTCTAGGCACTCCTTCTCATGAACCAGTAAGTAAGCCATAAACCTCAAAGCCCTAGACCCTAATTCCAAGACCCAAAGCCCTAAAACCCACGTCGCCTATACCCTCAACCTTAACCCCCATAATCCTCATACCTGCCCTACATAACCCCCACATACTCATATGGTAGTTTCCATAAATAGGGGGACCCCAATATGGACCCCAAAATATTATTATCCTTATTATTGAGACCCCCAAAATGGTACCCTAACTTTGGAAACACCAATATGAACCCCCCACCCCCCCCACACCCAATCCAGCCTGCCAGACGCAGCCAGCCGGCAAAGTTCTGCGAGCGTGCAAACACAAGCTCGCCCCTACCTCACTTGTGAAGGATCGAGGTATCAGGGTTTCACGCCAAGGCTTCCAGGGCTTAAATGTGAAAGGTCAAAGGTTTCAGGGTTTTAGGGTTCAGGGTCTTGGGGTTCAGGGTTTAGGGTTTAGGGTCTAGGGTTTAGGGTTTAGGTGTTCAAGATTGAGGCTGCGCTGAGCGCTTTGCATTGTGGGAGCCTTGCTTACGGATACAAGACTCAAGGAAATGGCGGGAAGCGTGAATGATCCGTCCCCCGCGCCCCACCCCCCCAGCTGAGGGGTGATGTCATCGGGCTATTTTATTTGCCTTAGAAGACAGGCTTTCAAGGGATGGCTGATAGGGTACAAGGAAATTATGCTTTACGGCTCGGTACAAGTACCGCTATGAGCCATAACATGGCCCCAGTTATCCCCATTCTCAGCTAAAAACTATTCCTTCCAGCTTCGACAATACTCCGGCGAATTCAGTCCTTATGTACCGCGCAAGAAGTCCAGAAGACGAATAACTCACAAATCCATTGCCCGAAAGGTGAGAGTTGAAGGGTTAAGGGAACATAGCATTGAACTGGAGCTAAATCCCATCTTTTCACTTGTTGAGGGCTTGCCAAGCTTCAGGTCCCGGCCCCACACAAGGATCCGTCAACCCTAAACGCCAGTGAGGGCCCAAGACTTTTAACGCCCCTGCCAACGGGGCTGTCCTCGGGGCCTGGAAAGGCACACTTTCTGAAACCCTTCCCCTAAACCCTAAACTCTAGAACCCTAAACTCCTGAAACCCTAAACCCTACAACCCTAAACCCGAAACCCCTGATGCCCAAAACCTAAAATCCTGATCCCCTTGAAACCCCAAACCCTAAACCCTAAGCTCGAGAACCCTAAAGCCTTAGAATCCGAAACCCTTAAACCCTTGAATCCTCATCCCTTGAACCTTGAAAACACCCTAAACCCTAAACATCCAACCGACACCTCGCAAAGGTTGTCCACCAAGTTGCGTCTGTAGTACAAAGCCACGGCATCTCGGCTAGGAAACGCCCGCACTGCTACCTAACAGAGGATTTTGGGTTTAGGGTGCAGCTTTGGGGGTTTAGGGTTTAGGATTTAGGGTTAGGGCTTCGGATTCAGGGTACAAGGATTTAGGGTTTGGCTTAGGGTTTAGGGTTAAGCATTTAGGGTTTAGGGACCTACCGTTTAGTTCGTAGGCTTTCCTGCGTTGAAAGGCTTAAGCCTTGAAAGTCAGCCTCAAATCTCGGCTCCCTTGAGCCTGAATCGAAAAAATCCCAGGCCATGTGAGCTATAGTCTAAATTTCTTAAATGTGGTTACATAGAGGATTGTATAGGGGAGTATTATGGGGTTATTAAGGGGCTAAACTATAGGCCATGTGAAATACTTGAATCTTGACACCCAAAGCTAAACTGCAACTCCAATGCGCTAAAGCTGCAGGCCCAGATCAAATGACCTCAAGCCCTTTCTGCATCCGTGGTCATTGCTGCCGGGGTCACGCTTCACACGCTCTTTGAGCTGTACAAAGGGGACCTTGGGCCCTAAATCCCTAAACCCTAAAGCCCAAACCTGAACCGCATGTGGTTCATCTACGGGTTTAGTACTTCTTGGAACTCTCGCGTGGGCTAGAGGCTGTAGCAGCTATTTAGGGTTAAGGGCTTAAGGCTTAGGGGTTAATTAGGGCTTAAAGTGTAAGGTTTAAGAGGCTGCAGGTTTTGGAGTTTAAGGCTTGGCTGACGCCCCCTACAAACCCGTATTGCAAAGGTTTTGCCTTGGCTGCTGCTCACCCAGCTGCTATTGCTGCAAACTTGCGCCGAATGCCATATTCTATCAGCATAAGGACTGTAACTGAGCTGCTTTGCAGAACCCCTCAAGCCAAAACGCTGAGCCCCAAGCCCACGACCCTAAACTCTGAACCCAGCGTCCAAAATCCTGCGCCCTGAAGCCCGAATCCGCATGCAACCCCTAAACCCAAAGTCCATCTGCTCAAAGCTTCCAACTCTAAGCCCCGTAGAGCCGGTAAACCCTATTAAACGCCCGATGCCACTAACCCTGCCTGGGCGTACACGATTTCCATGCAGCAAATGCCTGCGTTTCGGCCATGGGGGCTACGTAGATGGGGTTCCATTAACTGCAGGGAATCTTCTGTTCGAGGTCAGTAGAACCAGGTCATAAAAAAACTTTAGCATATAATAGCGTGTATATATATATATACATACACAAAGACTACTCTGGTTCTCATCCTAAGGACTTCCACAGGAAAGCCCCTAATTGTGCAAACTCTCATATGGGAGGATTGTCAAAATTGTGGTGCCTCTGGGGTACACTACAGATTAGCGGCCGCATTGTAAAGGGGACCCGAACCATATCATCAGCTTACCGTCAAATGAATAATCCTCAAAATTATTGGCCCCGCTTGGTTATGGATTATATTACGACACCTGATATTTGAGGGTACTGAAATGGGACCCAAATTTTGGGAACTACCCATATTTACAGAAAGGGGAGTCTAGCGGCCCTTCTCAGAAGACTAGAAAATAGCAATCGTTCGGGGGACGAAAAGAGGAATCTGTTGCATAACCGGAAAGTAAATACAGTAATCCGTACCCCTTTTTTCGAGAAGTTCGAGGCAACTACCAAAGCAAGTTGGCGCTAAGCAGCTCCCGAATTGATTGGGGTAGAGCGTAGCCCAGAGGCAGTTTGACATTAAGGGTCTGAAGGTATAAGGGTTTAGGGTTAAGGGTAAACCTTTAACCCCCACCTTAAACCTTTAACCCTAAACCCTAAAGCCAAAGCCCTTAACTAGGGGCAGATTTGGGGGCCCCATAATCAAGGTCCAGAATTGCTCATCTCCCCCGGGTGTTAAGCAGACACAGATACACCACCCCTAAATATGAACAATAATCATAATAACACTAATAATAATAACAATAAATACTACTACTACAAATAGTAATAAGAAAAAAGAAATATTCTTATCAGATATATCATCCAGAAGAGGCCTTACATGGCGGGGAATCGGAAACATTCGACAAAGCCATGTAAGTCAGATTAAGGGAGGTGATTGATTACAATGTGGGTTGAGCTTCTGGCTCAAAATATTCGAGTTCACTGTGAACTTCTGGAGGTGAAACGGTTATGATCTAATTGAATCAGCCCGTACTGTAAAGCGGAACGCGAACTACTTCTCAAGTCATGTGAGAATCAGTAAGCTTCTTCCTCAAGGTCACTGCCAGCGGGTGCAGGCCCCTTGCAATCCAATGGGGAGAGCCCCTGGGAAACTTGGGGCTGAAAAAGCTCGATAGATTGAACCAAGTGCTAAAACTCCAAACCTCAAATCCCTGTGAGCACTGCTGCTAATCATCATAAGAAAATGTAATGTAGATGTAAAAGCTCCTATTGGTACTCGTGCGCCTACCACTACTGCTACTAAGTTACTGGTAGCACTACGACTTTAGCTTGTACTACGCAGGACACAAGCCTGCAGCCTATTTTCTCAAAAAAGAAACTGCCCAGATGGCAAATTTGAGGACAGCGCTGGGCTGTTCAAACTTATAGATGTTTAGGTCACCTGGGGATAAACAATAACAATTAGCTGTAGAAAGAAAACATAGTCATGTATAGCGTTTGCTGACGAATGACTGGAAAGGTAAGATTCAAAGTTTTCTCGGGCTGTCAATATCATTCATAAGGTCCTGTTCCGGAGCAAGCGCAATTGAATCGTAAACCTGAACACGGAGAGACGAAGGAACTTTAGCACAACTCTGGCCTAGCACAACCCACCTTATGACTTCAGATTTGCAGTGCTGACGCCCGAGTCTTCTGACCACCGAAGCGGCAGCACTCCTTTGCATCATCGTAACGCCAAAGAAACTAAAACCTGAGTCACCTGTTGCTTTATGACCGTGGCCGGATGCTACATCACACGGCAGCTGTTCTTTTTCTAGCAAGCCATGACGCCATTTGTACAGCAAAGTACAAGGAAGAGCAAGCTCCGATGTCGCTGTGCTCCACTCTACCCTTAATTTTGGGCCTAAACCCTGAGTAATAGTTTCCATTCTATTTTCCATTATCCCAATATAACCCCAATATATACCCTATAAAACTTCACTACTAATGTACGTCTGGGCTTTTCGGTAAACAGGGCACAGTACTGGGGCTGGAACTCAGAATGTTGTCTGCCATGGTGATGGCTGCACGCTGGGCTGGAAAGCAACGTTGTGGTGCCAATGCTCTGGAGTATGTAGCCAGGTCTGTAGTGTCTAGGCCCTTGGCCGCCATTCTTCCCCCGCACGCCGTGCAATAAAATTGGCGATCACCAGGAACCCACTCCGGAAAGCCTCGAAAGAATCCTTGGGAAGCCCGCGAACACCTCTCACATGGAGCCAATTGCGAACAATCCAGCACGCTTTGAAGCCCATGTTCATTGTCAAATGTGAAGGCTGTAGCGCGGAGGCGGATGCCAAACTGCTGAAACTCCGGGGCCAGGTTGGAAAACAATAACATGTAATGCAATGCCTGCTGTTGCGCGCTTGCAAACCTCCTCCTTCTGCTGCTCTTTGGTTTCTTGCGCTTCTTCCGCCCTGGCCTAGGAACCCATTTAGCCTCAACGATTGCAAAGCCTCCGTCCCCAGATGCGAGGACAAGGTCACCTCTCCAAAATTCTACCTGATCGAGCAGCGCCCACTCATAGAGGTAGACATAGGGATACTTCTCATTCAAAGGCCATGGCATCGACTTTAAGAGGCTAGCAATCGGAATAAGATCCTTTCTTTTTGAGATTCTAGCAATCGGAAGAAGATCCTTTCTGTTCTTCCGCTGCCTCGCCAGGAGAAGGTCACTGTCAATCTGCCTTCTGCGCAGCTGGTCGCTGGCTTCAATGTCTGTTGGCGCGGAGCCAGGCCCACAGCTATCGAACAGTCGCAGGTGACTAGGGTCTTTGGCCTGCAGGAGGCGAGCAGCATACCGATTCAGCACATAACACTCTTGCGACAGCTGGGTAAGTATCAGGCCCACCACAAGAATCGGCACGCAACGACACTGAGAGCCATGCACCATCGCTGCACCCAAAATCCCCAAGCATAGAAGACCCATCACGTGAACATTGAATTCTTCTGTGGGCTTTAGGGTTAACTTTGGGGATGCGCTTGCTTGGCCTCTACAAATACGCCAGAACCCTAAACCCAGACAATAAACGCTAGATCTTGAGCCCAGGAAGGAAATTCCCGATTGATAGGGCCCAAATGGCCCATGGGTTGGGTCATTCCCCTTACAGTAGCTGTTACCACAGTGCGTTATAGGAGTTATAAGAACCCCCTTAATAAGGCCCCTTTAAGGACAGTTACTGGGAGGGGGAATGACCCAACCCATGGGTAATTGGAATAGGCTCCTCAGCTGCACGATGGTAGTGTCATGCCAGGATTATAAGAAGACAATACTGCAAGCGTCTTCCAATTGGATTTGAATGTGTGGTCTCTCAAACCGGACATCCAGTACAGATACTCGCCAATATTCATAAGGGACGCTATGTACACTCACCAAACATCATAATGAAGCCCTACTTCACCTTCAAATGACAGTAGACTAAGGGCCTCGCAGGGTCCAATAGCCCATATTAAAGCTAATCTCTAGACCTTAAGCCTTAGTTCCTTACCCCTTCAATGGCTTGTCCTGGAAAAGGGTGCTAATGAAACAGCTCCATCAACCTGCTATCCTTAAAGCACAGCATGTGCGGAGTGCGCTGGATTAGGTTCATTTCCGGATATTGCGGACTTTCCAAAGAAGTAGGGGTTCTCTAATTGTTAGAGCCCCTACTACAAGGATTATGAGAATTGGGGATAGATAAGAGAAACCTGCTTCTAGAACCCCCCTATTCGTGGCGAAAACGCATCCCCACACCTTTACATCTTGCAGTCTCTTCCTTTGAAGCATAACTGTTTTGGTGTAGGGGTTTAAGGGTTCAGGGTTTGAGGTTCAGGGATTTGTAGTCCTCCTTAAGTAGACAGAAGATAGCCTTTGGTATACTGCAACAGGATCCCCACATACCCCATATTCTATCTACTTAAGGGGGACTATAGGTGGTCGCCAGACAAAGTGTTAAATCCAAAGTGCAAGGCAAGATCTGGGTGTGAAATTGGAATCTAAGTTCTGGGAGATTCCCGGAGGCTGGAACAGGACTACTTGTATAAAGCACTGACCCCCAACATGTCATGAAACGATGGAGTGCCCAAACCCCTGCAAATCCAACAGCTGTAAACCCACAGCCGCGCACTAGGCCTGAACCCCTGAGAGTAGCGATGCTGATGGGTCTAGCATCCCATCACCGCGCCAGTTGTACGTATGGAAACTTCTGAAAGTAGGGGGACCCCCATATAGACCCCCAAATACCATAGTCCTTTTTATTTGGAACCCCGAAAAGTTACCCAACCCCAAAACTCTAAGCCAATTTTGTGAAACCCCACATTGATCCCCCCCAGCCAAGCGCGCCTTGCGGGTAAGGTTCGTCAATTGCAACCTTGATGTCCTCACCGCTTGCAAGGCTTATCAACCTCATCTCCCCTGTCCCTCTTTCCCGAGAAGCCAGCAACCTACGGGTCAACCTCAGACTGTAGATGATTCTAAGGACCCAAATAATAAGGCCTTAGGGCCCAAGTACCATGAAGATTATACTATTCGGGCCCTAAAGCCCTATTATTTGGGTCTTGGACCCTTAGATTATGGGACTACCACTCAAAAACCCCTAAACCCTCAACATGGGGGTGTGGGGAGCAGGGTATAGTTCAGAGCTTGGATTTCACCTTCCTGGTGCTTTGAAGGAAAAGACTGTGAAGGAGATCTTCAGGCAGAAGCTGCAGCCCAGGGGCCGCATAAAACAAAATCGGATGCGCCTAAGATTTGGTTTAAAAGTTTAGGCTTAAGGTTTAGGGTTTTGAAGGGGATTTGGCCTTACTATCCGGGAAACTTTACCCGGATCTACATGTTGATGCTCCCTCAGACGCCTTACATGTTGCTGGTAGATCCACTGGCCAAGCAGGAGCGGGATCAGTTTGCCGGATTTCGAGGTTCCCTGATATCTCCTGTCCTCCTCCTGTAGACTACCTAAACGGTTTAGGGTTTAGGGGTTAGGGTTTAGCCCTAAACCTGAAAACCTGTCAACGGTGACCCAAGAAGTTGCCAGGGTGCCTCTGAAAATGATTTCATTGCTGAATTGGACGCCCTCAGAAGCACGCATGCAGAAGGATCCTACTGTGAAGTTATAAGCGCTTAGGGTTGTAAGGGCTACGTCGTATCAGGGATTTCAGCACCCAAGATTGGGACCATCATTTTGGTAAGCGCTGCAACAAAGACAGATCCGCCATATACGTGGCTCTCAAAATTGGGGGCTCTTTCTGGGTAAAAGAATATCAAAATTTCCTCTCATCGAGCACACCGCCCTTTGTTGGGGATTCACAGCCCAATTTCAAAAACTGGCTCTTCAACCTAAACCTAAACACTAACGACCCTAAACACTATACTCAGGTATCTGTCTATCTACATCTATCCCAGTACATCTCTATATATCTCCAAGGAAGTGCCCTGCTCTTATAATGGCCTCGAGGACAAAATGCGAATCGCCTCCCCAACAGTGACCGCCCTAATAATCAACCGCGCAAGTACATACGGGGGGATTATTCGTGGGCTGGGGTTTAGGGTTCTGGGGTCTAGGGTTTGGGGTTTAAGGCTAAGGAACTTTAAAAAATCACTATGATAGGTTGCCTTTTAAGGGTCTGTAAGGGTTATATAGCGTTTGGGGCTAAATCACCACAATGGAGGAGCAAATGGAAAACAGAATGGGGCATGAATAGAAACTGGAGATATTTGGGGGTGTCAAAGAACTTGCGCTATGTTTCCATCATGAAGCCATATTCCTCATTTCCACAGTTGCTAACTTCTTTTAGTAAGGTCCATCATAGCAACCGAGTCGTATCACTGTAGGGGCTCTATAGTTTAGCGTTCAGAGTGTGCGCTGGCTTGCCAAGGTCAAGGATGTTGAGATCCGAAAAACCATGGCTGCCAATTCAAAAGGGACGGTATCATCTCCGAAAAATCTTGCTACAAAGCCTCACACCCTCTAAAAGAAGACCCCTCAAATCTAGACTGTTTGCAGCGCGCCCTAAGCCCTAAACCCTAAACCTCCACAGTCCTGAGATCCCAGAAGCCCTGCATCCCCAACCCTGAGCCCCAGCATCCTAAGACTACATTCTGCCTGGGGATTTAGGTTTAGGGTTTAGGGTTGTAGGATTTAGGGGCAACCCTTTTGCAACAGGCTTGTGGATAGCTGCCTGGAAGGTCCCACTGAATGCTGCAGGAAAGCACTGCTGGATCCACTTGCAGCTCAGACTGTCGACTAAGAGAGGGGGGCCCCTCATCAACATTGACACCGCGCCAGAACGTATCGCGCGCGAAGGATGTTGTTGTGGGTGCTGTTCACAGGAGCAGTAGGATTGGTGTCTCCACTGACCTGCACATAGTCAGAAATGACAACAGGTCCAAGACCAGCCACAGTGTCACCGCTAGCTAATGAGCCACCTGACGGCCGTATTCTGTTGAAATATCGGCGCACTCGAATGTTTGGGAAGGCAGCCTCCCTGTAACCCATAAAACCCAGCGATCGCATCAAGTCCAACAGCATGGCTGTCTAAACGACAAAGCCTCTGCAGTTGATCGTGACACATATTCGATGAGCACTTCTCCGTACGCCGGCACCGAGGCCCCACTTGCCACTTCTTTCAGCAAGGCCTCAACATCTTTCGCAAAGCCTGGTGTTGAAAGATACTTTGTGAAAGAATCCGGTATGTCAAGAGGACAAGGTTGCCCCTAAACCCTGAACCCTAAACCCCCAAACCTGAAACCCCTAAACCCTAGACCCTAAACCCTAAACCTTAAACCCCAAACCCTAAACCCTTAAACCCTAAACCCTTAAACCCTAAACTTCCCTAAACCCTAAACCCCAAAAGCCCCTGAAGCCTGTCCTCACCGCGCTTGGGGCTCATCATCTCACCCACGGAGTGGATGCCTTGCATGTCTGAGACCATCCTTCCAGGCGGTCGGGTTTGCAGTTCAAGGTTTAGGGCTTAGGGATTA